AAGAACTTATGATTAAGTAATAACAAATGATTTTAAGTTAATCGCGAAATCAGCTGACCATCTCCTCTTGACCTCAGGCAGGAAAGCCTGAGTGTCCCTCCCAAATTTTAGAAGGAAAAAGTTTTAGTCACAGTAGTCACAGAACACACAATGCCCTTCTCTTGCCAGGGAAGACAAAAGCCCACTCAGAATGGGAAGTCGGAGAGGCTCCAAGGAGGAAAGAAGGGAAATTAACAGCTATGCTTCAACTGCAGTTGATGCTGTCATCCTAAATTTAGAAGAGGGTCTGAGCACAGACGTGAATAAGGAAACCTAGACAGTCGATTTAGTCATTGGAAGTGTTGCCTATATGTAAGTATCCATTAGAAAAGGTATGTATTGTGGTGTCTCAATGGGCATGGCTTTTGGATGAGTTATGGTATTTACCCTCCCTGGTAAAATGTAAAAAATCATGCTGGTGGAATTTTGTCTTAAGGAAAAATCCACACTTTTTTCTAAGGCTCAGTTTTTCGTCTTTACACAATATATGTGCTTAAGTTGTTCCAAATGGATGGGGGGAGGTGCCCCGGCTGCTTCGGTGTCCCCAGCACTCCACCTCTCCTCCTTTTTTAAAAAAAAATTAATTTATTTCTTTTATTGTATATACATTCAATCGCATTGTTTAGCTTACAATGTGAGCATTTCAATATGTGAACATTCTCCCCAGTCCTGTTGATCAAAATATCTTCAACCACCTCTCTTCCTGTGCCCCGTTTCCTCTGGGAAGCAGCTCTGCCCTCACTCAGGGTGATTCCTTGGAGCTATCAATCAAGCACCCTGCCCTCTGCCCTTACCAATCAGAGGGAATTTTCTCTGGGCCATGGTTATTTTCTCAGAGTGAGATATATGATCCAAGTTGGGGCAATCAGATTGATCCTCTGGGATTTTACATATGGACACAGGGAGAAAGAATCCCTTTCCTTAGGTCTATGAACCTGAAGCTGTCTGTTGCTACCCTGCTCTCTGGCTTCCCGGCTCCCCAGAAATGAAAGGTCGCCTGCCGAGGAGGAGAATGAGAAGCAGGTGTGAGGTAGTGAGTCCCTCTCGTAGTGTTTCAGGCTCTGGAGTCCTTGAACCCGGTTTTAGCCTTGCACTTCTCAGGTGCTTGAACAATAAAATCTCATCTCCTAGACTTTTTTCTCTTTTAATTATTAATGTATGGGGCCAGCAGGTGGCGTGGCGGTTGAGGTGTTGGACTCCTATGTGGCTGACCACGTTCGAGTCTTGGACCTGGTGGTTTGCTTTCTTACTTCTATCTCTCTCATCTGTCTCTGGTAAATGGAAAAACAATAATAAACAAAGGAGTACATCTTTTTAAAAGTAAATGTAAATTAGCTTGAGCAGGGCATCTTATTTGAAACCTAAAGCATCCCAAATTCTGACTCATGTGGGCTGCGCAGGACATGGGATTTCCAGATTTACCTGCGGGCCAGATTCTCCGGGAGCACCTTTTTCAGATCCATACGATTCTCCAGGAGGCCCCTGTATTAATTAGAACTGCGTCAAGTTTTATTAATTTTTTATTATTTTCACTTACACAGATTTTTATTCATTTGATTATTCTGTATATTCTGCCACTTCAAAATATGTTCAAATGAAGGAAGGAAACCTAGGAAGGAAATCTAGGAGGGAAATCTTCTTTAGGGGTATCGATTTAAAAATAGATGCCAAAAAGCAGATGCTGAGGAGAAATAATAAGAGTGAGGTGGCACGCATGGATGCAGTGCAAAGTCTTCAACTAGAAGTGACCATAAAGTAATCCTAGTGTAGCCGTGATCTGTGGCCAAATGCGATCACGTGGCAGCAATGGTAAGAGGTAAAGGCAGAACATACATGGACTAGGGAGGAAGTGCTACTGCAGGTGTCGCAGGAGCAGTTTGACTCTAAATGACTTACGGAGGGTCCAGGCGGTCCAGGTTCACCCATTGCCCCCTTGTCTCCCTTTTCACCCTTGAGTTCCTGCCATAAACACAATTCAACATTGTTAGAAATGGTCCACCAAGATTTCACTGATTATACTTGGAAAATTTCTCACTGTGTTCACATAACTGGGTTTATGAGGTACTAAATACACGTCACGTTAACCCAATCCAATAGACCTTCCCATGTCTCACATTTCCAATTTTACACCTGGGAACCCATATGCAAACTTTTTGTTGTTGTTGAGAGATTTTTGCTATAGGATGTGTGCACTAGCTGGAGAGACAAAGAGACAGAAAGTGAGAAATCACCCCTGAGGGAAGGATGATCACACCGCACCCATCTGTATTCTCCTCTCAGGATTCTGGGCATGCACGCACATGCATCTGGCCTGTTTCAAGGCGACTAGTCCAGGACTCGAACCACAGGTGGCCGTGTATGAGTCCAGCACCTTGAACACTACACCACCTGCTGGCCCCACAAACTTTTTTTTTTTTTTTAAGAAATCTTTTATGAATCAAACTACATTCAACTAATTTAGTTCCCGAATCAGTATTTTTCAGCAATTTGAACTAAAATTGCCACATGGGATTTGGCTTCTCTTGAGCGATACATGACAGCCACACAAGGAGCCAGCCCCTGAATCAGTTTTTCGTAAGCATAATCAGATCATTTCTAACATATTTTTACTTAGTTTTCAAAAACACTGAAATTATTTTCATTGGGATGAATTATCTCCTGTGTAAATGTGGCAGTGAGGTTTTGATTTATCACATTTTATTGATTACATTTTTCCCTGTGTAAGTCTTCTTTTGAGGGTGTCATTTTTTTCTTTTTCTAAACTTAATGATTGTTCTGGGTTTTAATTCTTGTATTAATTATTGTTCCAGATTTTAATTTTTCAATATAAGACTTTTAGAAAAATCATTTATTAGACAATAGATTTTAGACTTTATTAATTTGGCTTTGTCGACTGCCTCTTAAAAGTTTAGCTATCTTCCTTGGGATATTTTTTTTTCCCTCAGTCTTCAATGTGAGTAATTGTTTCGGTCATATCAAACTTGACCAAGTTTTGTTCGAACTCTTGTTAGTTTTGTTTTGATCATTTCTATAGTAAAAAATCAGTTGTATTTGGGATGACAGCTAAGGGGTTGTTTTTGGCATAATGAAAGTGTTCTAAAATCCACAAAGCTCTGTGAATATACTAAAAGCCACGGCATTGTACACTAAATAAGCGAATTTTGTAGTATGTGAGTTATAGCTTAACAAAGCTGTTAAAAATTAATTATAGCTAAAACCTATGAACCGCATACATTAGAATGGTATATTTTATGGCATGCGAATTACATGTTGATCAAGGTATTATTTATTTTTTGATGTTTTTTAAATTTAACTTTATTTATTTACTTTATTTTGACCAGAGAGAGACAGAATGAAAGAGAGAGGGACAGTAAGAAAGCAAGCCACCAGGTCCAGGACTTGAACCGTGCTTGGCCATGTGGGAGTCCAGCACCTTTAACCAGCACACCACCTGCAGGCCCTGATCAAGGTATTATTTTAAGGACTTAATTATAAGTTTAGTGGAGAAGGGTGGGTTCCGTTTATTTCTTAGTCAATTCACAAGAAAATTGCCAGCTACTCTCTCCCTGCTCATCCCCTGCCCAGATCACGCCAGGGGCCGAGATCAGTATATGTTATTTCACATTCACTGCTCTGAGCAGTTGGTTCAGTTCATACCTGTTCCTCCTGGCACCCCACTTCAAGAGCGAGAAGCAAATGTTATTGTCAAAATGGCAAGTTCATTGTGTCCTTGGTGAGACGTGGGAGTCCCACTGTCCTTAGGGTTACAGCTACAGGGTTACAATGTCCCATTTGACTGCGATGCCACTCCACTCATATCTTTGGGTCACTACCATCCAGTTGGATCAGGCCACGCATAATTTTGTGAACATTATTTCAAAGTACTCACTGAATACCAGTTCTGTGTTAGGGACAGAGAGAGGGAATGGGGGTGCACGGGGGAAAAACCAGACTCGGACTCTACCTTTAAAACTCTTGGGAGTCGCTGGTCTCAGATCTTCCCTGTCTAACATGTTCAAGTTGATGATGGAGGATGGGACGGGGAAGAACCTAGAGGTTCAGGCTAGCTGAGGGGCTGCCTGAGCTGGGCTCAGGACAGAGCTTGTAACGAGGTCAAGAATCACAGGAAATGGGAAGGCAGATCCCAACGACCAAACTGTCAAATTGCAGTTACCGTTTTGTTATACGGGGCGATTAGTGTCACAATAACTGTTCCTGGTGGTCCTGGGGGTCCCATTAATCCTTTGACACCCTAAAGACAAACAAATACACCCAAGGATGAGAAACTAAACACATCGCCAATATTTCAACTTTACTCTGTTAGAAAGATCTATTTTTCCTTTTAACTCTCATGGAAGAAGATGGAGCAAATGAAAATGCATTGATTTTAACTTGGCAGGTCAAAAAACTATCTCTGCTGATACAGTGTGGAGCTTGAATTACCCGCTCTCCTTTTTGTCCCATCACATTATCGCCCATATGACCCTGTAAGAAAACAAAAACAAAATTTAGAAAGTGCATAACTGTTATAAACCCTGTAGGTGACAACATTTATAACTGAACGTTTATATTTTAGTTTTTATTTTAGAGTGATAGGGCGGTTTAGTTATTCCTTAGAGCAGAACTGTAATAGGTTTCTTTATTCTTTATTTTTTTGGAGAGATTTTTGCTATAGGGCACGTGTAGTCACCAGAGAGACAGAAAGTGAGAAATCATGCCCCAGGGGGCTGACCATGCCACAGTCCCTTCTCCTCTGTTCTCCTCCTGGATCTTGGGCACACATGGACACGTGCCTGGCATGAGTTTGAAGCCACCAGGTCTGACTTCAACCACAGTAGGCCATGTGGGAATCCAGTGATGTAACTACACCATCTTTTGGTCTCCAATATATTTCTTTTAAAGCAGAGATTTTTGAGGTGCAGAGAGTTTTGATGGGACCAGCATAATGGCATAATGGCATAATGGCTATGTCACTGGACTCCCATGTAGTCAACTGTGGTGAGAGTTCTGGACCCACTGGCTTAAACTCACGCTGGGCATGCATGCGTGCCCAGGATCCTGAGAGGAGAATGGAAAAGAGATTGTGGCGTGGCCATCCCCCGTGAGGGGTGATTTCTTGCTTTCTGTCTCTCTGTCTCTGTCTTTCTGGCAAGCGCATGCAACCTATAGCAAAATTTTCTTTAAAAAAAAAAGAAAGAAAGAAATTTTAAAGGATATTTTACATTTTACTTAAAATGGCAAATGAGACACAGGTGGCGGGAGGTTCTGGATGAGGGTGGGATTACAGAAATGGAAAGTTATGGTTTAGGAATCCCTACCCTTCATCCCTGAAAGACCTTTTTATAACTGAATTCTACCAGGGATCAAGTTACTGAAGCGCTACAGAAGGGAAAGAATGACCAGCGGCTCTCCCTTCCCTGCTGGGAAAGCCTTGGAGGTCCAGAGAGGTGCCCAGTGGTGACCCATGTGAAGAATTAGCCCTGGTTTGGCTTTGGATTGGCTAGTGCGTTCTCGTTCATACAACACATGCATAGTACCCTACCTTGGGTCCTGTAGGTCCCATGGCTCCTGGAAAGCCCTAGAAAAATTCGCAAAGTAAAGTTACACCAGAAAATGCAGATACCAGAAGACTCTTTCACTCTAATCACTTTATCATTTTATAGACCCTCTAACAATGGTGACTTCATACTCACCAAGAATCCTGGTGGGCCAGGTGGGCCAACAGGCCCAGGAAAACCTGGGGGACCTGGCAAACCCTTTAAGGGAATAAGAATAAGTTTACTTCCTGTTTAAGAACAATGTCGATGAATTAAATGTATTAAGCTATTTTAATAAAGTAACTACAGTAAATGTCAAAAAGCGTGTTGCCATGGTACCAGACTGCCAGGGCTGTCCTATGACTGTTTCCAAGATGACCAGAGCATCTGGTTTATTTACGACGTTTTTAAAACCTCACTCTCTCTTTCCCCTATAGCTCCGTCCCCTCCCCTCCCTCCGGTACCCTACTCTAACCTTAGGGCCTGGTACCTGCTCTCCCGCTGCCTACAATCCTCTCTTCCCAGATATCTCTAGGACTCATTTCCTCTCCCTTTTCTTATGTTTACCCCAGTGTCCTCTTACCCATGGACCTTCCCTGCCTGTCCAGCTGAAAGTTCCACTCACGTTCCACCCCAGGCACTTCCTGTCTTTCTTGTCTGCGTTATTTCTCTCCTTAGCAGTGTGATCAGTCCCACAGGGAGTGCTTTATTCTCGCTTTCTCTCCCTGTTGCTCTCTGTCTCTGGCAAACGCACGTACCGTCTGGTAATTTTCTTTTTTTTTTTTAAAGGCATAATTCTGATTAATCAACCAAGTACTTGGGGGGCATAGGTCTATCAAAAAATCCTATCACCAAGTAAAGCACACTTGATCTCAAAGTTAGCTGTATCTCTGTAGAGCGTAACTATTCCCTGGAGACGCTCCTTGCATCTAGTCGAGCTTCAGACTTAAGACGAGAGTAAAAGACACATGTGCAAAGTCATTGTTCTCTCTCAGCATCCTGTAGTTTCTTATAACGAAGTGAACGCGGTAGAATGAAATGAGGCAGACACATAATGGAGCGAGTATGACTGTCATTTAAGGTGCCCCTGAGAGAGGAAGGCATATGGGAGGGAGAAGGGGGAGGGGTGAGAGACAGGGCGGAGATGGAAAATGGTTGGCACTTCTCTGCCACGCCTTACCTGGAATCCTGGAGCTCCCGGCAACCCAGGGTCACCTTTTCCATCAAATTCTCTAGCTTCCCCTTTAGCAGGAGCACCCTTGAAAATGAAGAAGTTGATGCAACATAATCGATGTTAGATTTTCAAAACCCCTTTAAATGCTTTTTCAAGATCATACTGTCTCAAGGATGCAAGTGCTTTCTGTGATATATATTTAGAGAAGTGATTTGGAATTTTGTAATTATTCCATTATGAAGAATTCAAAACATTTTTCTATTTTCTAAAATTAAAAAAAAAAATGTCCTGTGGGAAAAAGATACAGAGATAACAAATCATTTCCCAAGACACCAAAATTAGTAGCAATTTGTAACTTAGAATGCAGGGCCTGAAATTGGTTTTCTTCTCCTAGATCCTATGTCCTTTAAAAAAAGATTCAAAACCGTATCCTTAAGACCCATGTATAAGGATAGCCAGAAGGAGCCATTCCATAGGAAGACATATCATGCCTCAATCATGGTTTCTGAACCATAAGCCTGGATTACGATGTCTGATATCTCATAATTTAACAGAAGTCCTCTCCATACATATGATTAGAGATTTAAAATGAGAATTTTCGAGCAATGACTCACCTTTTCCCCTTTCAATCCTTTAGTACCCTAGGAAAAAACAGCACATTAACAACTAGAGGCAAGTCAAACACCCAGTGCTTCTGCTTCCTCCTTTTGGATTCAGCCTCCTGTTGGCACTGCGTATTTCCCACTGGCTTTTTTTTTTTTAATTAACTTTATTTATTATTATTATTTTCTAGTTTTGATCAGAGAGAAACAGAGAGAGAGGGAAAGTGAGAAAGCAAGTCACCAGGTCCGGGACTTGAACTGTGGTCAGCCATGTGGGAGTCCAGTGTCCTTAACCACCACACCAACTGCCAGCCTCCCATCCCGCTGGCTTTTAGTGCTCAGCGTCTCTATTTAAACAAGGAAAGGCAGTCTCCCCCCCTCTCTCAGCCACCCCTGCCCAGCGCCGTGCTGTCTCTCGTCTCACCTTCCGAGTTCCTACTCTGTCCGCTCCAACTCATTTTTCAGGTCCATTTCTACCTCCTGCCTCCATCCTGCCATGGAAATATCTTTTGCTAAGCCTTTGAGTTGCTAAAACTATTGTCGAAATATCCGTCTCAGCTTATCAGGGCTCTCACAGCATTAGAGAGCCTCTGCCACTCCCTACCAAGCAGGGGAAGCTAGGAGGTGGAAGTAGGAAGGGGGTTTGGAGCATCTGCCTCTGGCTAGACAGAGAAACTGGTCTGGGCAGAGAAATCCCCCCTCGAGGTTAAGGAGGCAGATTTCCAGTGGGGAGTGTCTAGTGGATTAAGCCGCATTTGCTAGAACCAAGGAGATGGACCAGTGAGTCATTGGACAGAGCCAATGAGATGAGACCCACCAGTGGGTCCAGCCAATGGTCGACCAACACGACCTGGGTTAAAAAGTTGTCAACCTCGCAGAACGGAACTGCCAGGCCTTTGGAGCCACTCTGTCTGCACAGGCCTGCTCCTACCTCTTAGAGTACTCTTTCACTTCTAGTTAATAAACTACCCTTTCCTTCCACTACTGGTGTGTTTTCTTCAATTCTTTGTCCGAAACCCCGAGGACCTGTATTTCATCACGGACACCATCCCAACGCACTTCTACCATAACAGAGGTTTCTTGGACTTCCGTAATGGTCCCCTCCGGGTTTTAGTCCTACTGCCAGAGCTGTTCCTTGCAGCCTCATCCTCCTTGACCTAGACATTACATACTGAGTCCCATGGCCTTTTTCTCCTCCCTCTTACTCTTTTTCTATTTTTTAAGAGAGATTTTTGCTATAGGGCGCATGTGCTCGCCAGAGAGACAAACACACATACAGAGAGAGAGACACACACAGAGAGAGAGACAGAAAACAAAAAATGGCTTCCTGGGGTAGAGGGTGGCCAGCCACAATCCCTTCTCCTTCATTCTCCTCTCAAGATCTTGGGCACACACGCACATACAACTGGTGTGTTTTAAGCCACTGGGTCCGGGACTTGAACCGTGGTCAACTACATGGAAGTCCAGAAATGGAACCATGATGCCATCTGCTGGTCCCTCCTCTCACTCTTTGAACTGCTATGAGCCCCAGGCTCTCCTTAGAGCAAATCCAACTGCCTGTTACATGTCTCCATGTGGAAGCCTCAAAAGTAAAATAAGGTCTCCACGTCGAAACCTGCACTCATAATGCACTTTTTTATTCATTCCCTAGTAGTTGAACGACTGTTATTGGCTGCCCCAGACTCCCCCCAGGTCGTGACAGGTTACCATACGAGGCCGTACGGGAGAGCCCACTCTCATTCGCACTCTGTCTTGGATGGGGAATTAGAAATGCAAACCTACCGAGACCCCAGGGTAGCCTGGTGCTCCTGAAAATCCTGGAAACCCTCGCTCACCCTGGAAGATACAAGAAGTTTGGCATCATTGTTAGTTGTTCTGGAAGAGCCTATTCACACGTGTTCTTGCTTCTCTTTTCCCACCTTGCAGCGATAAATCTAGACAAAGTAACCTAAATTCCCTATGGCTACTGGGTCATGAGGCTGAAGGCCAGGAAATCATTATCTTAATTGAAATCAGGATTAGACTCTACTGTTTCTCAAATTGTGCATAAATGGCAAAGTCTAATTGTGCCAAGAACTTTTTAATTGCTGTTCCTTTGAAACTCGAGTAATTAGTTCATTCATGGCCACAATCCTGAGCAAAGGGAGAGCTGAGATGGAAAACAAAAGGAGGCGAGTGAACGTTGGAAAGCCCAGTCATCCCTCTCCAACGACTAATTTTGCACTCAAGGCTTTGGTTCCGGATGGATATACACAACCTGAGACGAAAGTTGCAGCTGGGCCCGCAGTTATCTTTTTGTGGGACAACATGGGAGAAAGTCTTTCGGAGACAATTAGAAAGCAAAGAATAACGAGAATGAACATGGGGAGGTGTCTGGTTCAAAATGTGACGGTTGGTTCTGCTTTTCAAAATACTTTAAGGAAAGCCTCTCTCTGTATTATTGCTACTTTTTCTGGATTTATTCATTCAGCAGAACATTCCTGAATCATCTTCTGGGCAAAAGTATGTACCTTAGAGCCATTGCATCCTGGTAAACCGGGAAGTCCGTAAGGCCCCGGATTGCCGGGGGTGCCCTGGAAGGAGAGCAAGCTGCAATGAGCAGGTGTAATCACGAGGCCCCGGGGTCAGGACCAGCCTGAACCCAAGAGCAAAGATGCAGTCATTTAAATAGCTACTAACCTGGAAACAAGTCTGTGAATAGTTAACATTGTGCTAGATACACTTTTAAAAGATAGCAAACAAAACAGGCTATATAAAATGAAGACTGATGAAGTGATATTTTAGATAAAAACAAAAGGCATTTCTATATCAAATGGAGTCCCTTAACATGTGAGGAAAGAAAGGAAGAGAGGAGTAAGAGGTGTGAAATATCTGCTTCTGGCTAGAGAAACTGGTCCAGGCAGAAAATTCCCCTCTCAAGGTTAGGGAGGCAGATTTCCGGGGTGGGGGGGTGTCTAGCTGATTCAGCCACATGTGGTAGAACCGATGAGATGGGTCAGCGGCTCCAGCCACGATGGACAGGGCACAGTGTACAGAGGTACCCACAGTCAGGTGCTGCTGAAGGGCTACGTTCTGAGGCCGAGATACATTCTGAGAAATGTGGGGTCAGGTTTTGTCATTGTGCAAACAGCTCACAGTGCCCATACACAGACCTTGGCAGTGTAGACTACCACACACCTAGGCTACACGGGACAGCCTAGTGCCACCACGGTTGTATCTGCAGTCCGGTGCTCTCCAAAATGCTGTTACACAGAGCTTGTCTGATTTTTTATTGTTCTTTACTACTAAACAGGGTCATTCTACTCCGTTCTACTCTACGCTGCTTATACTTCTGAAAAGATGACGTGAACTCCGGGCTCAAACATACTATGTCATTCTATGGCACCATCTGCTTTATGTAACAAGTGTATCAGGGCACCTTTCCTTGTGCTACTGTCTCAACAGCCTTAGTGAAATGAGCTTAATTCAAAATTTTTGCAACTATATATTTTCCCCATTACTTACTGGAAGTCCAGGAGGGCCTGAAAATCCTGGTAACCCGGTTAATCCCTGAAGACACAGAAAGAGGACAGGGATGGGGAATATAGTTAAAAAAGGTTCAACCTAGAAGCATAAAATTATGTATCATAACAATAATCTCTTCCTGCAACTGTAATTACGAGGAGCTGAAAGTGATTTGAAAAATAAGCCAAAGGTTTGACAAGCCATTGTAGATCACATAACTTAAAAAGGGGTGATTAAGGTTGATTTCAGATTCTTTTTTTTTTTTTAAGAGAGATTTTTGCTATAGGACATCTGTGCTCACTGGAGAGACAAAGAGAGAGAGAGACAGAAAGCAAGAAATCACCCCCCAGAGGGATGGACATGTTACAATCCCTTCTCCACTGTTCTCCTCTCAGGGTTTTGGGCATGCATGCACATACACCCAACATGAATTTCAAGCCTCCGGGTCCAGGATTCAAACTACTATCAGCCATGTGGGAGTCCAGTGATGTAACCATTACGCCATCTGCTGGTCCCAGCTTCTTGATTCCTTTTCAAGGCATACTTTGCACATGGCAAATGCTCCAGGCTTCTACGAGCAGCTACTGCGGTGCACCTCTGCGTCCCCACCATCCCATCACACCTGGCATCTCCTCCACCCCGGAGGTTCCTCATGCCCGGTCCCCGTCCGTTAACACCCCGCCTCCAACACGGTAAGCACTGTTCTGACTTCTACCTTTGTGGACTCGTGTTACCCGCCTTTGAGGTCCATCCATGGAACCGCACACCAAGTACTCCTTTCTGACATTTGGACAACTTACATGGCGTCGAGTTGACCTTTTTAAAAAGAGAGTGTCCACCAGACAATCAACAGAGACAGGCTGGACTACTAACCCTCACTCCTTTGGGACCGGTGAGTCCTGGAAGTCCTGGAGAGCCCTAGATCCAAGTGGAAAAAAGAGAAGGTTAACATTGTGAAAATGATTTGGCACGAGGAAACCCACACACCGGCAGCCTCGGTCTTCTTCACATGCCACACGACTTGGCTTTTGTGATTATTTTATTGTTCATGAGGTTCAATGGCTTTCTTATTTCATGAGCTAAAATATTTATGAGAAAAGACAAACGAAAGTGCATTGAAACCCTTGCTACCTGGAGGAGAGATGCCAGCATCAGCTGAGAGCTTGTGAGAAATGAGGCTCAGCTCTCCCGCACATCCCAGACCTATTGACCGAGACTCTGCATTTCCACCTGATTCCGTGCCCAGCAGGGCCTGTGACACGCTGCTCTCAAAGCTCCGCATTAGCCAGACAGCTGCTTAGGTCTGATAAGAACGAACAGCACGATTACAAAGGCGGACGACAGCGGCGGCCGATAGTTCTGTGCATGAGAAACAGCAGAATACCGAAATGTACCTGACGGACACACGCCACTAAACAGCAAAGGACAGGAGATAAACTTGCTCTGGACACCTCGTGAATACCATGTGGAGACCCTGTTTCCTGGGGAATAACCTCAAATGGAGACTGTTTTAACTAGGTCACTTGGTGTAAAAGTTCCATTGTCCAAAAGCTCTTTGGTCATTCTGGAGAGTTTCCATGTGCTTTGGTATTTTTGATGATTTGAGAAAACTCTTGTTGTTCCAGAGTTTGCTGAGATTGGACTGCCCCGGCCAAAGACAGCCTTTCCTGTCTGAGGGGAGTTCCTGGGTGCACGGCCCTGTTCAAGGCTGTCTTCCTTCTCTGGGAACGTGGTTTGTGGGATGCAGAAGGCAGATGAGAGACTTGCAGGTTTTCCTTCCCCGTGGCAAATGTCCTCATTCAAAAAATATTTTAAATGAAGATAAGAAACGTAAATATTTGAAAAATCTTTTTTGGTAGGCTTTAGTATTTTCTAGTTGTCTTTGGTCAGATTATATGCAGCTTCCTCTATAGTTACACTTTAAAATATGAGCCTGTGGAGCCAGCTGTGGTGAAGGAGTGGTAATACAACATTCTGCGACACTGAAGCCACACAGGAAGGTCTCAGGTTCATGTCCTGCGGTCTCCCTGTGCGCACAGGTGCCCGTGTGTGCCTGTGGTCCTGGCTGGCTGGGGGCGGATCACAGCATGAAGGACCTCTTAGGGTGCGTGTCTCTTTCTTTCTCATGGAAGAAACAAATAAATACACTTTAAACACAGCACACAGATTTCCCGGATTAATTTTAAGGAATGTGTGCATATCCTGTAACCTGCACTCACGTAACCATAATAGTTCCCAGCTATTGTTTTCATGTATTGCTGCATTTATAAAGAAGTGCCAAAAGGAACCAAGCGGAGTGGGGTATAGAGAACAAGGGAAAAAGAAAGTCGACGTGAGGCCGATGTCCGTCCAGGGCTTTCCAGTGACGTGGAGGAAAGTCTGAGGCCACGCCCTGCAGGAAGGTCATGGACTATCCAGACACTGTCCAGAATCCCAACGGCTTTTCCAAGAGGAAGGCCAGAAGAAGGAATGCATCCATGCATACTGCAGACCTGGAAAGAGCAGAATTCCCGGAAAACAGCGAGGCTTCATATCTTTAAACTCTAGGTGTGGATTTCATTTCTTTGGTTACGGGAGTTGGAATCTGGCATCATACATGTCACATATGAAGGAGTTGGATCCTACATTGCTGACCAGGTGGTTCAAGTCCCAGACCAGATAGCTTGGGAACCATGCCAGGCGCATGTGCGTGCATGCCCAAAATCTCGAAAAGAAGAAGAGACAGAGGAGAAGGGATTGTGGTGTGATCTTTCTGCATGGCGAGGGGAGGTGCCTTTTCCTCTCCCTCTTTGTCTCTCTGTCATTCTATAGTGGCCACGCACACGCACGCGCACACACACACACACACACACGCACACACACACGCACACACACACACGCGTGCACACACACACACACACACACACTCTCTAGCAAAACAGAAAGAGAGGAAAAACACAAAAATAAATTTATACGTGGTCTCTGTTCCCAGGTCCCAGCACAAAATCCCTTGTCACCTTCTGAGTGGGACAGGTACTAAGAGCACGTTTTGTTCTGTTATTGGTCCTTACACCACCTTCTGACTCAGAGCTGCCCAGTCCTTTGGAGTGTCCTGGGTAACAGGAGTCTTCTGTTCTAATGAGGTGACTCTTGGTGAGTTCTGGGATGGGAGCTGGTCCTCAGAAAGGTCAGCCAGGACCAGAATCTTAGCACTGTCACCTCCATCTCCCACATCCGGGAGGGGACAGGAGCTGGAGACTGCTTGAGAAACTACCATGCCCATGTGACAAAGCGTCCATCAAACCCCTGAAGTGTGCAGCTGGGAGAGCTTCTGGGTTGATGAGCCATCGCATCCCGGGAGGGACTCCGTCATCTTCTGCAGGGGACTCATCTAGACAGAGGAGATGTTCACCTGTGTCTTGTGTCATCCTCCCTATAGAACCGGGCTGTGTGCTTCCCTGAGTCCTGTGAGCCATGGGAGCAAATCAGTAACCCTGAGGAGGAGTCGTGGGAACCCCGTGGGACAGGAGGGGGCCAACTGGGACCCCTACTCTTGTGACCGGCATCAGTAGTGGGGCGGTCTGCCGGGATGAGCCCTGAGCTGTGGGTCTCTGCTAATTCCAGTTCGTGAAGATGTGTCATATTTCAATGTAGGCCACCTCGTTGGTGTCCGAGTGCTGGAGAAACAGTCGGTGCGAGAAAACTCCCCACACAGTACAAACCGGCTTTGAACTCTGATGCTGCCACCTGCTTGCTGCGTGACCCAGGACACATGACATACGTGCTCTTTGTATGGAGAGACAAATGGAGACTGTGATGAGTCACCACTGTCACGATGACGGGATCGACATGAGGAGCACATGAGGCGCGATGTGGACCAGGAAGGCCCATGCCTGGCACAGAGCACGCAGGCAGCAAATCGGCTTCATCATGTGAACACCCCACACGCTACTCTAATACGTATGCCAACACATTGTGAAGTTTGAAAACTCCTGCTTAGGTCAGTTGTGATGATCTTTCATAAGTTCCTAGCTAGCTCACGCTGGGGCCGGCATGCGGGTGACAGAATGTGAGTGTGTGAGCGGCCAGGCTTACGTCTAGCTAATGTCCGCAGCAGGAAAGAGCAATCAGCAAAATCCAGGGGTTATGCGGTTACCGAGCAAATCCTCCAGGGTATTTATTGAAACAAAGCCCTTCGTTGCATCACAGACTTTAGGATAGAAACATGTGATGGGCGCGAAGGGCAGAGGGCTCTGGTAAGAACCTGAGGAACCTGATGTTTAAGGGACCAGCTGAGAAAGACGAGCCCGTGAGGGCGGGAAGCGATTAGGGAGAGGAGGCTCCCAGGAACAGAGACGACCGTTTGCAGGCGAAGAGAGTGAGCGGCGTCCTCTGAAACAGGGAGGGTGCAGTGGGACGGAGACTCGGTGGTAGCCATTGGCGTCGGCCATCGGAAGGCCATTGTACACTTTCGCACAAGTGTTTTCAGACAAGAGGGGCAGAAGGCAAGTTGCTGTCTAATTAGTGAGTAGCTGCACTGTGCTCTGCATGTTGAGCTTTCCTTTTAAAAAGCCTGGGGCTACAGACCCGCAATTGGTGTACTGACTATGTCGCTATGACTCCCATGTAGTCGACCATGGTTCTAGTCCCAGACCCAGTGGCTTCAACACACTGAGCGCATGTGCGTGCGTGCCCAAGATTCTGAGAGGAGAATAGAGGAGAAGGGATCGCGGCGTGGCCATCCTCCCTGGGGAGTGATTTCTCACTTTCTGTCTCTGTCTCTCTCTGTCTTTCTGGTGAGTGCACATGCCCTATAGCAAAAACTTCTCTCTCTCTCTTTTAAAACTATTTATTTAATTTAATTTGTTATTATTATTTCTTTAATTTGATCAGAGAGACAGAGAAAAAGGGAAAGGAAGAAAGCAAGCCGCCAGGTCCAGGACTCGAACCACAGTCAGCTATGTGGGAATCCAGCGTCTTTAACCACCATGCCACTTGCTGGCACCAGCAAAAACCTCTCTCTTAAAGAAAAAAAAAGCTTAGAATCTGATGGGAGAGACACACAAGCTCCCACCCTGTAGGAGCTTCTGGTGTGTTGATAAAGGGTTCAAAAAAAAAAAAAAAGCCTGGGGCTACACTCATAGTCTAGAGGTTAAGGGAGCAGGACCCCACGTGGCCACCGCAGTGGCTTTGAACACGTACCCCGGGAAAAGAGTGGGGGCCAAA